CAAAGGATATAAACAAAAAATTCATAGAAAGGAAATACACATGGTTCTTAAACTAAACATATGCTCAACAAAACCACACACATTTTTCTAAGAACACTAAGATAAACAAGAAAGGGAATATAAACAAAAAGGGATAAATGAATCTAACATAAGGGGCCTTGCATAATCAATGATGACAATATGCCTGAGCTGAGAAAGATTTATAATTTACTCAACCCCTGCTCCTAAGGTCAAAGTGGTGTGTGTGTGGTGGTGGCGGGGAGATGTTCAACTTCACATATAATAAGAATTGCATGTGGCAACTGCATTGAGATACGATTTTTCACTATCGGTTTGGCAAAAGTAAGAAAGTGATAACACACTATGCTGGTGAGGATGTGGGGAAACATTAGTGGCGAGGATATAAATTGATCTTACCTCAAAGAGGACTTAACTTGGAGGTCACTATGTTGTTATTGTTAGCTGCCATCGAATTGGTCCTCAACTCATGGCAACCTCACGCACAAACAATGGAACAAAAGCTGCCCGGTCCTGTGCCATGCAGATGATTAGTTGTGATCAGGTCATTGTGATACATGGGTTTTTCATATGCTGATTTTTGGAAGTAGATCACCAGGCCTTTCTTCCTAGCTCATCTTAGTCTGGAAGCTCCACTGAAATCCAGCATCAAAGTAACGCACAAGCCTCCACAGACAGATGGGTAGTGGCTGCACGTAAGGTGCACTGACTGGGAATTGAACCTGGGTCTCCCACATCAAAGACGAGCATTCTACCACTGGACCACCATGCCCCCATGGCTGCCATAACAAAATACCACAAACTGAGTGGCTTATAAGAACAGAAATGTATTGTCTCACTGTTTTTTTGTGTTTTGGGGGTCCATTGGTCCTTTGGACTAATCTTTCCCTTTTGCCTTTGGTTTTCTTCATCCTCCCTTGCTCCAGATGGAGTGGAACCAGTGGATATCTTAGATGGCCGCTCACAAGCTTTTAAGACCCAGACACTACTCACCAAAGTAGGATGTAGAACATTTTCTTTATAAACTATGTTATGCCATTTGACCACCAATGACTGCCTTGACAGGGAACATACAGAGAGTCCCTGATGGAGCAGGAGAAAGGCGGGGTGCAGAACTCAAATTCTAGTAAGAAGACTGGACTTAATGGTCTGACTGAGACTGGAGGAACCCCGGAAAGCACGGCCCCCGGATTCTGTATCAGCCTGGAACTAAAACAATTTCCGAGGCCAACTCTTCAGGCAGGGATTGGACTGGACTGTGGGACATAAAGTGATACTCATGAGGAGTGTGCCTCCTAGCTCAAGTAGATACAAGAGACTAAACGGGCAGCTTCTGTCTGGAGGTGAGATGGGAAGGCAGAGAGGGTTAGGAGCCGGTTGAATGGACATGGGGAATCAGGGGTGGAAAGGGGGAGTATGCTGTCACGGTATGGGGAGAGCAGTTAGAGTCACATAACAATGTATGTATAAATTTTTGTATGGGGAAAAAACAAAAAAAACTGTGCTATGCCAGTTGAGCTAGATGTCCCCTGAGACCATGGTCCCCAGCCTCAGCCCAGTAATTCAGTCCCTCAGGGAGTTTGGATGTGTCTACGAAGCTTCCCAGACTTTGCCTTGGTCAAGCTGTGCTGCCTTCCCCGGTACCATGTACTGTATTACTCCTCACCAAAGATACCACTTATCTATTGTCTAGTGTTTTCTCATTGTTTTGGAAGCTGGGATCCAAAGTCAAGATACAGCTTTGTGATTCCTCTGGAGGTTCTGAAGAAAAATATGTTCCACACATAGTAGATTAGGACCCACCCTTCTCTAGTATGACCTCACATTAACTGGGAACATTTGCAAAGAACCTATTTCCAAACAAGGTCACATTCACCAGGTACTAGGATTAAGACTTCAACATACTTTTTGTGGGACACAATTCATCTCATAACCGACCCCTTACTATTCCCCTATTAAAGGAAGCAGAGGCCCAGCTGGAGCCATGGAAGCCTAGCCACAGGGGCTAGATCCCCACCTCCTTCAGAGGAGGGGCCAAGTCTCTAGAAGTTCTGTCCCGTGCAGTACTGAAGGAGGAGCAGTTACATGATCATCCAACTTCTACTACCAAATCAACTTGTTACGCCTTTTGCTCTCCTGGCTTTGTATCCCAGAAATTTTCTGATACTCTTCTGCCCACAGTTTCCCTCGACACCAGGGAAAATTCACAATCTCACTGCCTTCCTTGACTGATTTTTACAAGTTAACTGCCAGGCCTTTGTTTCTAGTCCTTTTCAGTCTGGAAGTTCTGCTGAAATCTGTTCAGCATCCTGGCAACAGACAAGCCTCCACTGCCAGATGGGTGGTGGCTGCGCATACAGTGCATTGGCGGAGACTTGAACCTGCATCCCCCGCCTGGAGAGTGAGAATTCTACCACTGAACCATCAATGCCTCCCTCACTGTCCTCCTGAGGCCTTAAATTCCAAAGCTCCTCATCCAGTCTCACACATTTTGTGCCCTGGGTGTTGAGGGGCACAGTACCCTGCAGGGCTGAAAAGGGGCAGACCCCATGGGGAGGGGTCTCAAGGGAGAGAATGGAGGCAGGATGGGGGAGGGGAGAGGACAGAGAGACAGGGTAGGTGAAGGGGACTCAGAAATGATGGGACACGCTTCCCAGCCACACTATCACCAAGCACACCTGGGAGGCATTTTGTCCACCAAAGTACATTTATTAATTACCCACTGGCGGCCCCATTTCCTCATTCATCAAAGAAACAAAGATTTATTGAGCCCCAGCTGTATGCTTTATACTCACAGAACCTCAGAACAGCCCTGATTGGAACCATGGTGCGGAAGAGGAAATTGAGGCTCAAAGTGGCTTTGTCACTTGGTCACACAGTGAGCAAGAGGAGGAATAGAGTTTACCTGGTTCCAAAACCAGGTGGTTTCCCAGAGATGGGTGTGATAGTAAGGATGGCTTTGGAAAGATCTCAGTGTGACTCATGGCAAGACATCAGAACTGGGTCCCCCATGGCTGAGTGGTCTCCCCAGGTACCTGGCTTCCTAGCACAGATCACTCCTTAGAATCAGATGCTAGGGTGGAATTTCATGTTCAAGGAGATTCCACCTCCGCTAGAATGTCTAAGGAAGGAGATGGGAGCTCATACGGGGAAGGAGAGGGGCTCACTGGGAGGAAAGGGGGGCTCCTGCTTGCACAGCTCCAGGGGCCAGGCTCAGCCTGTTTTCTTCATCTGTACCATGGTGATGCCCATCTGGCGGGTGTTGCAAGGAGCAGAGTGGCGAGTGTCTCATGCACAGCTGCTGTCTGGCAGGTAGTTAGCGTGCAAAAGGAGGGTGCCAAGTGGCCCAAGTCCAGCTATCTGTGGAGGCTGCCTGAGGTGGGGGCACACCTAGGGGACACCTGGAGGAGAGGCAGTCTGCAGCCCCAGTGAGAGGCACCCCTGACACCTGGCCCCCAGTGAAAAGTTCCTGAGAGCAGGCAGGTGGTTGTCATGGAGAAGACATTGACAGTCTCCATGGCAACGGCTTGGTGGGGCAGGGCCCTGTCAGGGAGGAAAAGAAAGTCTAGGGGCACAGGTGTTCTGTTACCTCAGACACCAGAGTTTGGTCTCCATGGCAATGGCTGTGGGGTGCAAGCCACCTGAGGCAGTACTTGGAGGGTGGCGAGTTGCTAAGGTTGGGTCTGCGGGGAGGGGCACCCTGTTTCCATGGTGAGAGCAGAGAACTGGAATGCTGGGTCACCTTGGGGGTAGTTGGGGGAAGTGTGGCCACTGGAGCTGTTACGCACAGCTGGAAGTGGACTTGTAGGTCGGGGGGGGCGGCCAGTGAGATGGGAAAAGTGTGATATCCATGGTTACAGCTGGGGGATGGTGGGGCCAACTCCATGGGTAAGACTGCTGCAGGAAGGGGGTGTGTCTCTAGGTGACAGGTAGAGGCTGTGCTGTTCGCCTTGGTGACCGTGGAAAGTGGGGCAGCTGGTCTCCATAGCGACAGTGACACGGATCTTATGGGTCCGTGCGCCCAGAGGTGGGGATGGTGTCTTTGGTGACAGCCGGGGACAGGGGTACCAGCCTCCAGATGGGGCAGATTCACTCTCCCTCCAGGGAAACACCTAAGGGGAGGGCCATTGCCTGCGATCCCACGAGCCAGCTGGGGGTGTGTCAATTCATCTTCACTGCGACAGCTGAAGGTCTACAGAAACTGGAGGGGGTGGCACTGTTATCCAGGGTAACCTGGGGACGTGCCCTATTACCCTGAATCTTATGGAGACTCGCAGAGGAGATGAGAAGCCAGTCTCCAGGTCACTGTCGGGGAGAGGGCATGCAGGAGCCCCTTGTCTTCAGGTGACCACCGCGGGTGTGGGCACCTGGGAACCCTGAGGTTTCCATTTTCTCTCCAGGTGACCTGCATGGGGGGAATCCAGTGTCCAGGTGACTGAAAGGGGACAGGTGGCCAGTGTCCAGATTGTCCCCAGGGTTCAGCTTCCAGGTGACTGCAGGGGCGGGTCTGTTTCCAGGCGACCTCGGGAGGAGTGGCCAGTCTTCAGGAGACCACGTGGTCTCTTCTGTAGCTCTCCAAGGGTTCTCAGGGGCCGTGGCCCATCTCTCCTGGAGAAAGTCGGGGTAGGGAGAAATGGAGTGTCTAGGGGACCTCACGGGGTGTGGTCAGTCTTCAGGAGACCTCAGGAGCATGTTCGGTCACCAGAAACTGCAAGGGGCGTGGTAGGTCTCCAAGAACTGCAGGTGGCATGGCCAGCTTCCAGGGGACCCAGGGCACTCGGCCAGCCTCCTAGCGCCCCAGCTGCCCCCACCCCCGCAGGGCCTAGACGCGCAGCGGGGTCCAGGCGGCGGGATCTCGTGCTCCTCCCGCCCAGCCGCCGCC